GAATTTTGCCTGAAACTCTCAGACTGAAGAAGTCTCTTGGAGGAGAGACGAAACGTTTCATTAGAGAAGAACCCGTCCAGAGGACCTATACAATTTTTTTTCCTTTTCATGTTTTACACACTTTTTTAACAAAGGTGTTTGATTTGTCACTGCTCAGTGTCTAACAGGGATAACTCTATACTGACTGAGATGTAGCCATCTTTGTGTTTTCTTAGGCCCCGCCCCCCACCTGCTTACAAAGTTTATGCAAGCTTACAAAATTTACGTAGGTGAAAAAAAAGGTATGAACAGACTGAAACTAGAGATTGTGAAAACAACACAAAACAACAGCTCTATCAACCTCCTCTATCCACGATGGTTCAATTTATTCTTTGTGTGCCTTCGACTGGCTTCATGAAATAATTGCGGATTATTGGTCAGCAAATCCGCTGTTTATGGAAGTTTACAAAATTTACGTAGAGTAGAAAATAAAAAACTCAGTAAAACAATAACTTAATAACTCAGTTCAATTATTATTCTGTGAAAGTTTCATTAACATTTCTCTAATGGCTCACGAGATGTTTTTCTAACAGACACATGCACAAACACAGGCAACTACTCGGTTGTCTGCCTTTCATGGCAGTGAGTGAGTCTGTCTGTTGACTTATGTTAATGATTTTCTCTATTTTCTCTTCTTTCAGTCATTGCTGACTCGTTGACYGTATCAGCGCCGCCTCAGACTCTGTCCAAAGTGGAGGGTGACACGTTACAGCTCACCTGCGAGGTGTCTCGGACCACAGAGCAGCACACTCACTTATCAGTTGGGTGGTATCTGAGGTCCCCTGAGGACGCGTCTGCCCCACCTCAGGAGCTGGTCACCTTGTCAAGGGACTTTGTTCTGCGCTCCGGAGGACCTTATCGGCAGAGAATGGCAGCTGGGGATCTCAGGCTGGATAAGACCAGCGCCACGGCCTACAGGCTGACGATTCACAAGCTGCAGCCCGTGGACCAGGGGCTGCTCTACTGCCAGGCCACCGAATGGATTCAGGACACGGACGGGAGCTGGTTTGCCATGACCCGCAAGCAGAGCGAGAAGGCCCAACTTCGAGTTCAGCCCACTGGTGAGTGAACTGCACCCCTTACACATAACTCTCCTCCATCAGAGCCTGTAAAGATGTTTTTTGGAGCTTGATGCAATGTGTGTTTGATACGACTTCATCAGCTGCAAGATCCACACACACAAGCAAGGTGTAACAAATTTTAAATATATATACGTATATTTCTGTTTTGTTATTTCTTGTCAGTGTTTGTAGCACTTTTTAAAGATGTGTTTTTAACAGTTACTGCTAATCTTGACAGAGAGGAAGAACTTTAAAGAGCACAGCAGTTTATTGGACAAAACTAAGGTTGTGAAGGTCTTGAGAGAGCTCTTTACTTTTACCCATCATCAGATGGTTCTTGTGTGATACCTGGCCATCATTTGGGACTGAACCAGCT